GGACTGAAATTGAAGCTGAAACTCCAATACTTTGGCCATCTGATGCGAAGACCTGACTCATTGTAAAAGACCCTGATGCTGGGAAAGATTGAGGGCAGGAGGAGAAGGGGACGACCGAGATTGAGATGGTTGGATTCCATTACTGACTCAGTGGACATAGGTTTGGGTGGACTCCTGGAGTTGGAGATAAACAGGGAGCCCTCGTGTGCCTTGGTTCATGGGGTCGCAAAGAGTCGGGCATGACTGAGCGACTGAACTGAACTGAAAATGCAATAATATATGACTTTATGTATTTAATTTATATATTAAATAAATATTTAATTTATATATTTCCTATTTGTTTTATTACTTATATCAATATTCTCAAATAACCTGTAAGAAGGTATGGCAATCCACTCCAGTGTTCTTGCCTGGAGAATCCCAAGGACAGAGGAACTTGGCATGTTACAGTCCATGGAGTTGCAAAGAGACATGACTGAAGTGACTTAACACACACACATTCTCAAATAATCCTGCAAATATTCTTGTATCTTTCTCTGTGTCATACAATGAGAATTTGTATATATTATTTGAGTGGTGATTAATTATTCAATTTCTAACAATTGAGGTATATTCTTGTTTACCAATGTTAAGTTCCTGTATTTGTTGCAACAAAAAAATAATTTTCTATGAACTTACTACCTGGTGATAATTTCTTAATATGGGCACATCGCATTTTCATCTTTTATATGTAATATTTTCAACCTTAGATTTCAGCGCTGGACTGAAAAACATGACTGTTCATAGAAAACTCAGTAATCCATAATGTTAGTGTTTATATAGTTCATATAAATTACTGCCTCATTCCCATAATTCACAGGTAGACTCACTAAACCAAAAGAGAATGAATCAGTTCTCCGACCTTCATTTCACATCCTGGACCAATAAAGCAGGTTAGAAATGAAACATTTATGAGCTACAGTGGAGGGGATGACAATAGGTACATTTGTCATGGTTTTAGTTCAGGATCTTCCCTAAAACCTAGATCACGGTTTTAATCCTGGATTTTTTACCCCCTGTATGTGGAGTGTGTGTAAATCTCTCCACCTCTCTGTGCTTATGTTCCTTCTTGGAAAAAAAGAGTCTAATATCCACCTCTGCAATATGTCACAGCCAAGACTCTTTTGGAACTTATACATATTTGGTCATTTAATAAAGAATTTAAAGTATTGTTAAGATAATGTGTTTAGTAATGAAATGCAATACCAGATTTAATGATGTTTTCTGGTTTATATGGCAAAGAGATCAAAGCCTTTCCTGTCTCAGAGCATCAGAGCATGGAATGAAATGAAATATAAAATGTGTCTCAGCCCATGCAATTAGATGTACCATGTCCTTCTTTTCTGACTGTTTTTTTCTCCATATTTATGAAAATTTCTGGA